TAATTTGTTATGAAGTAATATTATATATATAATATTTTTATATAATATTATGTGATAAAATATAATTAATTGATTTTAAATTAAAATTAAATTTTTATCGAAAAATATTTTACCACATAATGTTGTATGTGTAGTATTATTTTTTATTATGATACGTGAATTTACAAAAATGACAATTAATGTATAAAATCTAAGGGTAAGATTATATTGATTTTTATATATAATTATTTAGAAATTATGGACGTAATATAAAATTAAGATCTTCTAGTTTTATTATCAAGTCTATTAAATTACAATAGATTTATAATCATTAATTAGTGTCCGAAATTAATTACTCTCTCGAACTCATTAATTATAATGATTTTACTGGTTGTTGAGAGTGATTTTCCAAATTAAACAAATAATAATAAAGGAAAAAAAGGCTTCTGCATCTTATTGTAAAAGGTATTTTTGTAAAAATTCCATTGTTATGAACATTTGCAATAATCAGCGAGACTCGATCAACTTTGTTGGGATCGAATTAGATAGGTGCGTGATTGTAAATTAACCAGCAAAATGAGTTGAACAGGTCAAAAACAAGAAATAAACAAATCGAAAATAACTAGGAACAAGAGATAACTTTTAAAGTCGTTCGCGGGTTAAAACAAAGTCTATGTCCACTATTATGTTACTGTTTTTAGTGTTTTTCCCTTTTATCATAAATTACAAAGAGTTTCTCTTTTCTCTCAATTGGGGCATTTGGATCATATAACGTTTTATTATAAGGGAGTATGATATTAACGGAATAAAAAATCACACTGAAGATTACTGGAAATGTTTGGTTAGGAGGATAAATGAGTAGGTATGTTATATAGATTACTAAATTGCCCTCCTTTTTAAATATTAATATAATAATATTTGTTAGTATTATTTTTTTAATAATTTCTTTTAATCACTTACTTTTCAGATTTAGCAAAAACAGCCTAACAACTAAAAACGTTTTATACTTAACAAAAACACCCCTACCCACCCCAAGCCACTGCCGATAGGCAACCACCACCATCGGCGGCTGCCAACAATGCCACAAATCTGGTCGTGACTGTCACGACCCAATCTAACTGTGGGCCCGACTGAGCATGGGTTCGAGCCATGGGGGAGGCAAAAGAAATACCTTAAAGGGGGAGACAGTACTGAGTAGAATGGTCACGAGAGTGGGTGCTTTGTGATCCCCAGTCGGGCCCACGGTTAGATTGAGTCGTGACAGTGACGCCGACACTGCCATAGATGTGGCCATGGCCATTTCACAGCCACATATTTGACCGTGAAACGACTAGATCTGGCCATTTTCGACATGAATTTGTGATCCATGGTTGGAAAATGTCTCATCAGTGTACGACTGGTCGTATGCCATTATAGCGACTTTTAGCAGCCTCTGGCGGCGGACCATGGTGGCAGACCATAGTGGCTGGCGGCAGGGGCGGATCCAGCCCATGGCCCACCCTCAATTTTTTTTTTAATATTAATATATATAATTTTTGGATTTTGGCCCACCCTAACAAAAATATTAATATGTAATTAGTTTTTATTTTGGCCCACCCTAAAAAAAATTTATGGATCCGCCACTAGCTGGCGGTGGTGGCTAGTTCTGGGTACAATGACATTTATTTAAATAATAACAATAGCAAGGACAATGTTATCCAAAAAATTCAAAAAACGAGGACAAAAAGGTCAGCACAAGTGTATTAGGTGTTTTATGATATAAATCAGCCTTTTACCCATATTTAAACCGTAATAATTATTAAGTTGGGGTATTTATTAAACCAGAGCAATTATGCCTCAAGCAGATGAGCTTATGAACTAAGTCACATGCCATCAGAGTGACACATAAGACGATCCCGGTCGTTTGGGCTGGTTTGATTAGAAGACAAATGACACGAATTGATGGCCGGGAAAATCACGCACAACAAATTCAAAGAAAGTTATTTGAATTTGCTAAAGAACTCCATGTCCAACTCGCTGTTACAATGTGTTTGAAAGTCATCAAAAATATATATATACACTTATGTCAACACTCAACACCTTTAATTCTACTGATTTAATTTGCAATCCCCGTAACACTTCTAAAAGGCGTAGAATAGACTCATATTACCAAACCAGTCGGTGCCATTAATAGGCTTCAATTTTCAAGTTTTAAGTGCAAATAGAGTTGATATATATTTCTATCAACATCAATATGACATCTAGTCCTTATATTGTTATGAATATCAACAAAGTAGGAGATGCATAGATTAACTTAACAACAACAAACAATGATAGCTGATAGGATCAAGACATAATAGAAGGATTAAATATACCAACATCTAATAACCTTATTTTTCACTCAACATTAATTAGAAAGTCTAAAATCTAGTTGAACATGATAGGATCGCTAATTGAAAAGTGTTAATGAAAAGTTTACGGTGGGTAGTGATTAATTAGATAAAAGGGAGGTGGATAGAAACTTGAGAAAGACGATGATGTGGGTGGTTTCTATGGATTGCGGCCATGATTCAAAATAGAAGCGGGTATATGAAAAACAATGACTTTCATTTAATGAGATGTTAACCTTCTTGTTTATTTGATGTCTATCTATTTTTACTGATTTCTTTTGTGGCTATAATTGAAGAACTTCTATGCCTAATACTATTTTACGACTCTACCAATAAGTTTCCTTTTACAATTAAAGAAGATTTACTACCTTCGGTAACTTTGCAAATTAATTAAGGGATTTTCGAGGTTTAATCAAATAAAAAAGTCGTCATGAACTACTTTTTAGTGGTCAAGTGATTTGATATGAATTCTTGAGTGTATTACTTAAAAGATCTTAAGTTTGAGTCTCACCTTGGTTGCTAATAGGGGTAACCGTTGAAGCTTTTATCTGGTTGGTAATTTAAGGATCCTAAGAAATTAGTTGAGGTACGTGTAAACTGGTTTGGACACCACCGATCATAAAAAATAAAAAAAAGTCATCCTAAGGTTTCAAAAATAACATAAATACCCCTGTTTTGAGTGAACTATTAGAATTTATAACATGATGAGTTAATAAATATTTATGAAATTATTTCTCTATCATTTACTTTAACACCGAAATATTAACAGCACGAAGATTTTGTTATTAACCACATGAATAATTTTGTTATGTAATTCTACAACCTTTTGATTTTGATTCATTATGAAACCCCTATTGATAATGATTTATCTATTGAAATAGGATAAACTAGAAAATCACTATCTAAATAATTCAAGACAATAATGGGTAATTAATTGCACAATATTTTCCGGTATTTACCTGCAACCTAAAAAGAAATATTTAAATCTTAGGCTACTTGTTTTTTTTGTTTATTTTCCAATTTAAAATATAATAATGTTAGGTCCATAATTTTTTTTTTACAATTTTGATGCGACAATTCATTATTAGTTAGCTCGTAAATAGACAGATGAGACCCATATAAGTATACGAAATCTATTTTGTGAGCTGATCAATGACAAATTATTATGTTTATAAAAAAAATTTGTGATATTAAATTGAAGATCTAGTATTACTCTTTAAAATTAACTATTACAAGAAGGAAATTTATTTTTATAAATTTCTTTTGCACATCCAGAAAAAAGAAAATATGTTTTTTGATTAATGAAATGCCACCTGCCTTCCAATGGAAATACAACACAGGTAGCATGACAATGACCATGACATCCAAGTCGTAATTTCTACAGAAACGGAAGACAAGACCAATTTGCTTTTATTTTTCAATATATAATATACTGGTCTTATATTTTCTTCCTATAATTAGAGTTAATGATTTTTTTCCATCCAAATAATGATTTTACGACACTTTCTCACTTATAAATTTTTAAAATATCATTTTATTATCTAAATTTATATTCCAATGATAAATATAGAGCAAATTTGATCCAAATTATTGAGACTTTTGAAGAGGGGAGGTTGATGAATCTTTTGATGGTGGTTGGTTGATTAGAATTTGACTTAGAAGAGACGATTGTGTAAACTTTAATAGCTCGATTATTAGCGATTGATGAGGTTAACAGTAATATAATTTAAGGGATTTTGGTGAGTGATGATCGAGGTAGAGAATGGTGGTGCTGGTGTGGGGTCGCAACGATATCAGAGTCGAAATGAAATATAAATTTGGGTAATAATATGGTATTTTAAAATCTTGCGGGTGAAAAATTGTCATTACCCTATTATTTGGGTGGGAAAAATCGTTTACTTAATTAACTAATATAAATGCTAATTTTATTTTTGAAACAAAAAGTGGTCAAGACTCCAGATACAACCAAATTTAGAAATTAAATAGACAATAATTTATTCTCATGTCAATTTCATATTTACATCATCTTCTTCTCTATTCCTGAATATAACTATTGGAATAAAAATTCTAACGGATGTAAAGTTTCTCATGACAAAAATCAAGCCACTAGGAATAATAGAAAAAAACAAAAAGAAAGAATTTTCACAGGCGAAGCCCAGCTGCACAGGTGATGAGTACTTGGGTCTATGACCCCTCCAGTATTGAGAAAGTACTTTTAAAGTATAAACCCACTCATACCTTTCAGTCATCACCCGCCGCTTTTAGTTTCCAATCAACGCAAACACGACACCATCCAACTACAGTAAAAATATATTATTTACTACAAAAATGATCCCCACCCAACCGTTTTAATTTAAAATCATCCATAAGTCCATGCCCACTCGCTGCCTTCCAAATCCAACCTAACCCCTTCACTCGCTATCCACAACCTGTTCGTTTCACTATCCTGTCAATTATCCACAGCGAGTTATGATTTGTTATCCACAGCGAGTAATGTTTTGTTAAACTCGAGCGCGTTTGCTATTTGATTAAACCCGCGAATTGTGTCTTTCCCGCTGCCATAAATGAGTCTTCTCTGCGCTTAGTGTGACAAACTTTAACGTAGAAAATTTACAGAGAGAGAAGGTATGCAGATAAAGGGTGCAACAAACACGTACTTTTTTGGAAAGAAAAGAAAAACAGAGCGATAAACAACCAAAGACTTATTGAGAGAGAGAATGAGAAAGAAAATCACCATTAATGCAGAGCCAGAAACTCAACTACCAATCTATTATAATTAGAATGCAAGAAAATAGCAGCAATAGTAGTTCATTTGTCTAACAAATGCCAGTGTTACATTCAAACCCTACTTTATAATATATATATATCATCATCTTCTGCTTCTCTGTGTTGTTTTTGTCGCTTTAACAGATCCAATGTGGAATTCGGCAGAGAATGTGTTTTCCAGAACGTCGTCGTTTAGGGAAGATGGAGAGGACGAGGAGGCTCTTCGTTGGGCCGCCTTGGAGCGCCTGCCTACATACTCTCGCGTTCGCCGCTGCATTTTCAAGGATGTGGTCGGTGGCTCTAAGGAGGTTGATGTGAGTGAACTTGAAGTTCAGGAGCAGAAGCTTGTTTTACAACGTCTGGTCAACTCCGTTGAAGATGATCCCGAGCGCTTCTTTGATCGCATGAGAAAGAGATTTGATGCGTAATGATTATTTCTCCTAGTTCTTGTTTCTTTCTTCTGGTTGAGTTTCTTCAGTGCGTTTAGTATGAGAGCTAAATTGAGTCAACTCTAGTCAGCTTTGTTTACTTATTGAACCGAGCCTATCAATTTGCTTTTTATGTTTTTCATTTTTGAGTTAGTAAACTAGTATAGTATAAGCCAAGTTTGAAACTTTAATGTGTAGGAAGCTATAGCAACTCAACATAACGATTATATTACATTGATTATTTGAGAAAAAAGGAATTTTGATGCTTAATTATGCAATTTCTTGGTAATAGAGTCTTTGTTTAATGACTAAATTACGTGGAGACATAAGAAAAGGTGAGAATTTCGAGTAATTTCGGATTGGAAAAAGTTCTCTTGTTTTAATTTTTCTACATGTGTGGCATTACAGAGTAGATTTGGAATCTCCAAAGATTGAGGTTCGATTTCAGAATTTGACGGTTGAATCTTTTGTTCATCTCGGAAGTAGAGCACTTCCAACCATTCCAAATTTTATATTCAACATGACTGAGGTAATTTACCCTCAATTTACACTCTTGGTCTCTGCTATAAATTGATTTCTTTCCAACTGATTTTTGTGAATGATCATCAGGCTCTTCTGAGGCAGTTGAGGATATACAGCGGAAAGAGAAGCAAGTTGACGATTTTACATAATACAAGTGGGATTATTAGACCTTCAAGGTATATTTTAATTTTAATTTTATCCCAGTTGGTGATGTTTTTAGGCCAGGATTATGTGTGTTTGATAAGGTAGGATGATATTTTGTAGATTGACACTACTGTTGGGTCCTCCAAGCTCTGGAAAGACAACGCTATTGTTGGCTCTTGCTGGACGACTGGCACATGATTTACAGGTATTGGGATTTTGCGTTATTTTCAAAGATGCTGAACATGTTTTAATACCCTGATTCCTGGTTTTCGTGCTATTTGCTACGGTATTAAAATCCTTGAACTAACCCCAGTAGGGATGACTTAGCGGGTTCAATATAGGTCTAACCTAAGCATGATGAGCTACTGTATGTTCATACATTTTCTATCATGTGCTTTTATCTTGTCTCTGATAAAGGATAGAAATGAGCATAGAATGGTGGCTTATAATATGTTTGTTGATGGAACTATGCCTTATGTAATGGGCTTAGTTCACCCCTCTCAAAAAAATTGCAGGCCTAAGCTGTTAATCATGTATGTGAGCTATGCATTTCCTTTAATTAAATGATTAAACTTATGAACTTTGGATGATTCAAGTTCACATATATTGCCAATGTTTCCGTGTTGATTGTTCCATTTTTTGTAATGTCTTTATACTTTGATTGCTTTAAAGGTGTCAGGGAAAATTACATATAACGGACATGGTTTAAATGAGTTTGTGGCTCCAAGGACGTCTGCCTATGTCAGTCAACAGGATTGGCATGTTGCAGAGATGACTGTAAGGGAAACTCTTGAGTTTGCAGGACGTTGTCAGGGTGTTGGATTCAAATATGGTAAGCTTTAGAAAATAATTTGTGCCTGCATAAACTAAGCTTTCCTAGTTGCTGACTCATGAATTCTTGCAAAAGATATGATTTCGGAACTTTCAAGAAGAGAGAAGATTGCTGGGATAAAACCTGATGAAGATCTTGATATATTTATGAAGGTACTTGTCAGATTCTTTTCTCTACATATAGATAATTTTGCCAAGAGATTCTCACTGTTACAGTTTTTTCTTTTAGTCATTTGCTTTGGGGGGACAGGAGACAAGCCTTGTGGTGGAATACATCATGAAGGTATGCTCTAGAAGCTGAATACTCTTGTAAACAGAGGATAACATTATTGCAATTATGGCCTTCAAGTGTACCTTACCTGACATTTTACTATCACACCTTCAAGAATAGCCAAAATGACCGAAGTATAGTTTTCACTGGTGTTTATAATGATATTGGAATAGAGCTGACGAGTTTAGGATATTGGTTTTATAAATTGATGTTGAGAACACAAACCTCTGAAAAAGGGTATAAAAGGACGTCATAGTGGATTTACTGGGGAGTGGCTCATCAAAAAGGTTGGTTAATATGCTATTAGCCACTGGAATTTGATTTAAAAGGAAAAATGTTCCTTAAAGAAGTTCAGTATTCTAAATAACGTTTATGTGATTGTTGAACTTGATTTGTGAAATTCTGAAGCACTAATGTATATATGACAAAGATTTTAGGTTTGGACCTATGTGCTGACACATTGGTTGGAGACGAAATGCTTAAAGGGATTTCTGGAGGCCAGAAGAAGAGGCTAACAACAGGTTGACATGATTTAGATCACTGTTTCTTATGTACTAGAATGCTGTATGCTTTTATTCATGCCAAATTAGCACATATGTGATTTCAGGTGAATTATTAGTTGGTCCTGCTAGGGTGCTGTTTATGGATGAAATATCAAATGGTCTTGATAGCTCAACTACTTATCAAATCATCAAATATCTTAAGCATTCTACTCGTGCGCTTGATGGGACCACTGTCATTTCTCTGCTTCAACCTTCTCCGGAGACGTATGAGTTGTTTGATGATATTATACTTTTGTTTGAGGGCCAAATTGTGTATCAGGGACCTCGTGATTCTGTTCTTGATTTCTTTACATCTATGGGATTTAGTTGTCCCAAAAGGAAGAATGTGGCTGACTTCTTGCAAGAAGTAAGTTTAGAAGAGCTTGAGATTTGGGTTCATTCTCTTTTATATGGCACTTTGCTAAAATCTTGAAACACAGGTTACATCAAAGAAGGACCAAGAGCAGTATTGGTCCAACTCTTTCCAACCTTACCGGTATATACCTCCAGGAAAGTTTGCTGAAGCTTTTCGTTTGCACCAAATTGGGAAGACTTTGTCTGCGGAACTGGCCGTTCCTTTTGATAGACGCTATAATCATCCAGCAGCATTGTCAACTTCTCAATATGGAGAGAAGAAGAGTGAACTTCTCAAAACCAGCTTTAACTGGCAGTTACTGCTGATAAAACGAAATTCATTTATCCATGTTTTCAAATTTGTCCAGGTAATGTTGCGAATTTTAAATGGTAATTTGGTGATTGAGTTAATGCTAGCTTTTCTGTAACTAATGCTGGTTAGTGATGTTTTACATTGATCCATGAAACCCTTTTTTTTTTTTCACTGTAGTTATGCATTGATGATCTATTTAGAGGAAAGTGCTTCATAAAAAAATATTGCTGATTATTATCGTGTACTGCTCTGCAGCTTCTTTTGGTTGCCTTAATAACGATGACTGTTTTTCTCCGGACAACGATGCACCATAGGACAATTGATGATGGAGGATTGTTTCTTGGGTCACTTTACTTTTCCATGGTCATTATTCTTTTTAACGGCTTCACTGAGGTTTCAATGTTGGTGGCCAAGCTCCCTGTGCTTTACAAGCACAGGGATTTGCATTTCTATCCAAGTTGGGTTTACACACTTCCTTCTTGGGTCTTGAGTATTCCAACTTCACTCATAGAATCTGGTTTCTGGGTGGCTATTACATATTATGTTATTGGATATGATCCTGATGTTACTAGGTATGTAATATGCTTTCCCTGATTTCAGCATGATTTATTATGGTTGAATTGGAATGACTTTTTAACTTCAATCCTTTAATTTGCAGATTTTTTGGGCAGTTCTTGTTATATTTCTTTCTGCACCAGATGTCTATAGGTCTCTTCCGTGTTATAGGATCCTTAGGTAGAAATATGATAGTTTCCAATACCTTTGGATCTTTTGCTATGTTGGTGGTCATGGCTCTTGGAGGATTCATTATTTCAAGAGGTAAAGCTGATTATTGTGCAAGATCATGGTTAATTATTCATGCCAATGTTTTATTCATTTTTTTGTATTGTTGTGACAGATCGTATTCCAAGCTGGTGGATTTGGGGTTTCTGGGTTTCTCCTTTGATGTATGCTCAAAATGCAGCTTCTGTGAATGAATTTCTTGGACATCCTTGGAATAAGGTAACACCATTAACTTATTATATAATTTTTGCCAAGGAAATTTATGCATCTTGCTTAGCTTTTTTGTATCTTAAAAATTATTTTGTTCATTGAGAACAATATGGTTTTTCAGTAATTATATATAAAGAAAGTTTGAAATAAATAGCATTATCTCTGATGCATATATCCATTTAATTGTTTTAACCAGTTTAGTCACTTCAAAAAATTCCATGGCAGCAGTCACCTTATACAGTACACTTTTTTGTCTACCATTTGCTGTTGTGGTTTCGACCATGTCCATGAATTGAAAGGATTAGTTGGAATACAAAAAATCGTGACAGTAATAAATAATCTTCATATGTTATATTTTTCTTTTAAAAATGAAAAATCTATATTTTACGTGCTCTAAATCTTTTGTCATTTGTAATAAAATTTCTAAAAAAATTATATATAAGCATTTTGATTTTTAATTGATTACACACAAGTTTCCCCCTACAAAAAAATAAAAAATAAAAATAAAATCGAAGAAATTTGTTTCCATCTGAATTCTGAAACCAAACTCAACTTCGGACCCTCTATCAGCCAAAGCCAAACGTAAACATGATTAAAACAGAAGATATGATGGAACAACTTGCAACTATCTCTCAACAAAAGATGCATATCCACATTGGCCAATTTATCCACGATCTGATTGCCCTCACGACAAATATGAGAAATGTTCTCACTCATATGTTTAAGATTCTCAATATTGTTTTAAGCCAAGGATTCCAAAGATGCCATGGATGCAAGGCCCGATCGAAGAGACTACTAGTAGTATGAAACTATGAATCTTATTTCAATCTGGAGATGAGCCACTTACGAGAGAAAAGGCAATTTTAAGAACATATAAAACAGCTGCCTGTGTTGTACAGAAAGAAGTATGATGCCCTAACTTTGTGAAAAAGCTGCCAATCGAACAGAAACCTGATTGAAAATACCACTGCAGTTTCTAGGGTTAACAAATTTCCCATAATTAATTGCTCTCCAGAATCTAAATTTACACATAAGCAATACTGAAATATTAGATTTTTTTGCATGTATATATGTATATATTATCAAAACTCAATTGTGCTCTGTTCTTTTATATGTAGACGGCTGTGAACACTAACTCTTCATTAGGAGAGGCATTATTGAGAGAACGAAGTTTGTTTCCAGAAAGCTACTGGTATTGGATTGGTGTTGGTGCTATGATTGGATATGCAGTATTATTCAACATTCTTTTCACATTCTTCCTAAGCTACCTTAAACGTAAGTCATCTGATTGTGTAAAAGTGATGAGTAGAACTTCCTTTTTACTTCTGCTTAGATGAAGAAATTAATTACAAATGTATCTGGCTAAGTTCCGCTTTTCATATTTAACAGCTTGGGGAAAGCAACAGGCTGTTGTCTCTAAGGAAGAGCTACAAGAGAGAGACAAGAGAAGGAAAGGTGAAACTGTTGTTATTGAACTGAGAGAGTATTTGCAGCATTCAGGCTCACTAAATGGTTTGTAAAACGCATCTTGTATTGGCTTTTCCAGTTTTACTGACCTTTTTTCTTATTTGTACCTATAAATTCCCAGCTGAATGTTCAAGTTCTTATTCTCCCTAACTTCCTTGTAGGAAAATATATCAAGCAGAGAGGCATGGTTCTTCCATTTCAACCACTTTCCATGACCTTCAGCAATATCAATTACTTTGTGGATGTCCCTGTGGTGTGTATACACTTTCTTTGCCATTTGCCACTTACTTTGGGGAATATGTTTACTATTTATTTCTCTCATCCAAGTTTCTCTTCAGGAATTAAAGCAAGAAGGGATATTAGAAGATAGATTGCTGTTATTGGTTAATATTACTGGAGCATTCAGACCTGGTGTGCTTACAGCATTGGTTGGAGTCAGTGGCGCTGGTAAAACTACCCTTATGGATGTTTTAGCAGGTCGAAAAACTGGTGGGGTTATAGAAGGCAGCGTACATATATCTGGTTATCCTAAAAGGCAAGAAACTTTTGCGAGAATTTCAGGTTACTGTGAGCAGAGTGACATTCATTCGCCTGGTTTGACTGTCCTGGAATCACTTCTGTTCTCTGCTTGGCTGCGGTTACCTTCAGACATTGATTTGGAGACACAAAGAGTAATAAATCTTTGGCCTTTTCATGTTTCTTTGGTCTGAGATAACTTACTGATTGAATTTTTCAGGCATTTGTTGAGGAGGTGATGGAACTTGTGGAGCTGACATCGTTAAGTGGGGCATTAGTTGGTCTACCCGGAGTTGATGGTTTGTCGACTGAACAACGTAAAAGATTAACAATTGCTGTTGAACTGGTTGCCAACCCTTCTATAGTATTCATGGATGAGCCCACGTCAGGTTTAGATGCAAGGGCTGCAGCAATAGTGATGCGAACTGTCAGGAACATTGTAAATACTGGGCGAACAATTGTGTGCACAATCCATCAGCCCAGTGTAGACATTTTTGAATCCTTTGATGAGGTTAGCTCTTAAATTTTGCAAGAGAGCTTCTCTAATTTGGTTTTCTTTCCTGGCATTGAAAACGTAAAAAATCAGAAATGATTACCGATAAGCAATACTGCTTTCATGTCATGTCCCTGTGGCTGTTATAGCTAGTATATTATAGCTTTGTAATCTAGTTACATGGATGGAAAGTTAGAGACAGCTTAATTTTATCATACACATGATCCTTAGTAAGTGTTTTGATTTCACTGGATGTCTACTCAATTCATAATCTTCTCCGTCTTTGCAGCTTTTGTTTATGAAGCGTGGAGGAGAGCTCATATATGCTGGTCCACTTGGTCCTAAGTCTTGTGAGCTCATCAAATATTTTGAGGTTGGATCATGCATTTTAAAATCTCTTAGAATATTTGATATCTATTTTATGCTTGAATCATTATGAACTTGTTTACATTTTATCTTATGGATCTATTTATTTGATCTGTAGGCAGTTGAAGGAGTGCCAAAAATAAGGCCCGGATATAATCCTGCTGCATGGATGCTTGAGGTTACCTCACCAGTTGAAGAAAATCGCCTGGGTGTAGATTTTGCAGAAATTTACAGATCATCAAATTTGTTTCAGTATGTACATGTTTTCGGGAAATGTTGGCTGTTGGTTTTGCCATTATATACATATAATCTTTTTTTTTTTTTTTTCTTTATCTAACCATGCTGTCTTGCTTTGTTTCAGACGTAATAAAGAATTGGTTGAAATTCTAAGCCAGCCTAGTGCAAATTCAAAAGAATTGAACTTTCCAACGAAGTATTCGCTGTCTTTTTTTGATCAGTTTCTAGCTTGCCTGNATCTTGTATTGGCTTTTCCAGTTTTACTGACCTTTTTTCTTATTTGTACATATAAATTCCCAGCTGAATGTTCAAGTTCTTATTCTCCCTAACTTCCATGTAGGAAAATATATCAAGCAGAGAGGCATGGTTCTTCCATTTCAACCACTTTCCATGACCTTCAGCAATATCAATTACTTTGTGGATGTCCCTGTGGTGTGTATACAGTTTCCTTGCCATTTGCCACTTACTTTGGGAAATATGTTTACTATTTATTTCTCTCATCCAAGTTTCTCTTCAGGAATTAAAGCAAGAAGGGATATTAGAAGATAGATTGCAGTTATTGGTTAATATTACTGGAGCATTCAGACCTGGTGTGCTTACAGCATTGGTTGGAGTCAGTGGCGCTGGTAAAACTACCCTTATGGATGTTTTAGCAGGTCGAAAAACTGGTGGGGTTATAGAAGGCAGCGTACATATATCTGGTTATCCTAAAAGGCAAGAAACTTTTGCGAGAATTTCAGGTTACTGTGAGCAGAGTGACATTCATTCGCCTGGTTTGACTGTCCTGGAATCACTTCTGTTCTCTGCTTGGCTGCGGTTACCTTCAGACATTGATTTGGAGACACAAAGAGTAATAAATCTTTGGCCTTTTCATGTTTCTTTGGTCTGAGATAACTTACTGATTGAATTTTTCAGGCATTTGTTGAGGAGGTGATGGAACTTGTGGAGCTGACATCGTTAAGTGGGGCATTAGTTGGTCTACCCGGAGTTGATGGTTTGTCGACTGAACAACGTAAAAGATTAACAATTGCTGTTGAACTGGTTGCCAACCCTTCTATAGTATTCATGGATGAGCCCACGTCAGGTTTAGATGCAAGGGCTGCAGCAATAGTGATGCGAACTGTCAGGAACATTGTAAATACTGGGCGAACAATTGTGTGCACAATCCATCAGCCCAGTGTAGACATTTTTGAATCCTTTGATGAGGTTAGCTCTTAAATTTTGCAAGAGAGCTTCTCTAATTTGGTTTTCTTTCCGGGCATTGAAAATGTAAAAAATCAGAAATGCTTACCGATAAGCAACACTGCTTTCATGTCATGTCCCTGTGGCTGTTATAGCTAGTATATTATCGCTTTGTAATCTAGTTACATGGATGGAAAGTTAGAGACAGCTTAATTTTATCATACACATGATACTTAGTAAGTGTTTTGATTTCACTGGATGTCTACTCAATTCATAATCTTCTCCGTCTTTGCAGCTTTTGTTTATGAAGCGTGGAGGAGAGCTCATATATGCTGGTCCACTTGGTCCTAAGTCTTGTGAGCTCATCAAATATTTTGAGGTTGGATCATGCATTTTAAAATCTCTTAGAATATTTGATATCTATTTTATGCTTGAATCATTATGAACTTGTTTACATTTTATCTTATGGATCTATTTATTTGATCTGTAGGCAGTTGAAGGAGTGCCAAAAATAAGGCCCGGATATAATCCTGCTGCATGGATGCTTGAGGTTACCTCACCAGTTGAAGAAAATCGCCTGGGTGTAGATTTTGCAGAAATTTACAGATCATCAAATTTGTTTCAGTATGTACATGTTTTCGGGAAATGTTGGCTGTTGGTTTTGCCGTTATATACATATAATCTTTTTTTTTTTCTTTATCTAACCATGCTGTCTTGCTTTGTTTCAGACGTAATAAAGAATTGGTTGAAATTCTAAGCCAGCCTAGTGCAAATTCAAAAGAATTGAACTTTCCAACGAAGTATTCGCTGTCTTTTTTTGATCAGTTTCTAGCTTGCCTGTGGAAGCAAAATCTATCTTATTGGCGGAACCCACAATATACAGCAGTTCGCTTCTTCTACACTGTTGTCATTTCATTAATGCTTGGATCAATATGTTGGAAATTTGGTTCAAAAAGGTTTCTACTGAACTTTTCTTTTTAGGCATCTTCTGATATCTAGGCAAAATTATTGCTTAAAACTAGTTGAGACGCTTTCATGCTTGGGCATTTTGGGAACTTAGTTACTCCAGATAAATTGCAGATGATTTGCTTTGTGAGGTTGGAAGCTAGTATTGTATGATTGACACTTATTATCTATACCTATTTTACTTCCTCCTCTAGGTGGCAGATAGCTGTTTTCAACCCCATGAGACATGATATCAACATTGGATATCTTCCATCATTTGTATCTCTTTTTCAATTATACCTGTAGCCCTGTATAGATGATTCTACCACTAAAGTCTCTGTGATATTTGAATTCTGATTCGTGCAGGGAGAATCAACAAGATTTGTTCAATGCCATGGGATCCATGTATCTTGCTGTCCTGTTTATCGGTATTACAAATGGTTCTGCTGTTCAACCAGTTGTTTCTATTGAAAGATTTGTTTCATATAGAGAGAGAGCTGCTGGGATGTACTCAGCTCTGCCTTTTGCATTTGCTCAGGTCTACCTTCTGGGCTTCTTTCCTTCTTTCCACTTCTATTTGTGCAAGCAAGAACTCTTTTGTTCTCTGAAACTTCACTCATGTTTTTTCCTTTTATGTGCAGGTTGTTATCGAGTTCCCATACGTGTTTGGACAAACTGCTATTTACAGCTCTATTTTCTATTCTATGGCTGCATTTGAGTGGACTGCTTTGAAATTTATTTGGTACTTATTTTTCATGTATTTTACCATGCTATACTTCACCTTATATGGAATGATGACTACTGCTATCACACCAAATCATAATGTTGCCTCCATCATTGCTGCTCCATTTTATATGCTTTGGAACCTTTTCAGTGGCTTTATGATTCCTCGCAAGGTAATGAAATTACCATTTTCTTTTCTATATATATAATATCATAGTTTCTCACTCTCGCATGCATTGTACATAAACTGATCAAATGGAAAACAGCAAGTCTCAAATATTTATTAACATTTAACATAATAGCAGTTTTCAAGTTTGAAGTAAACTTAAATATAATGCTGAAGGTCTTATATAATTTTTTAATCCTGTCTGATAGAGAGGCCATGTTAGATATATAATGACCTTGCAAGAAATATACAATCTTGAGATCTACTTTGCATGGATTCTTTCTCTCTTTCATGTGTGTATACATATCATAATGTGTTCCCAATTCTTTTTCAGAGTATGCCCTTTTTCTGGAGATGGTATTATTGGGCAAACCCAGTGGCATGGAGTCTGTATGGACTCCTGACATCCCAGTTTGGTGACGATGGTAAACTGGTGACGATTTCAGATGGAATTCACTCTGTGCCAGTGAAGCTGTTACTGAAGGATGTGTTTGGATTTAGGCATGACTTTTTGGTTGTAGCGGGTGTAATGGTGGTTGCCTTCGCTGCATTTTTTGGATTCATATTTGCTTTTGCAATAAAAGCCTTCAAGTTCCAGAAGAGATGACAAGGTGGTTTTGTATGATAAGCTTGTATGACAAATTGGTAAGTGTATCAATTTCCCTTTAAAAAAAAAAAATGGTGGCTTGAAATTTGTATAGCAACCTGGTATTGCAGAGTGAAGATAAAGTTGGCTGGAGAAAATTTTAAAACATATAGATACATATATATTTGTTGAATTGTTAACAATAATTGTTAGTATGATTGGGCAGTGTAATTTTTACAAGACATATACAAATGCATATTCAATAACATTGTAAACACTCATTATTGGGTCTCAAGTAAAGGTTGTAATTATGTGGCCATTGCGTTTGTCAAAGATACTAATATCCAATGTCTTTTCATTAATGATTGCGCAAATGGCTTGTTATGGTTTATCGGTGCAGGTGCAATGTGGAAATGAGAAAGCTCACGAGCATCACAGTCTCTCTTACCTAAATTTACCCATGGCGTGATACTACACTTACAACCTCTTCTCATAAACTTTCTTTCACAATTATGAAATTTATCAGGTAAGACTTATTGTGAGGTGACTAATTACGAATTATCATATCGGAATTGTGAGAGAAAACGTAGTATTTTTGTTTACCCGCGAGGCATGGAAAGGGAATCGTTGAGAATTAATATGAGCCCTCCCCTGGAATCATGTTATGTGCCAGCTAATTCGGTTCATTTCTAACTTTTGTTGGAGCTAGCTCCGTCTATTTTCATGGTTAAACACTTCTTTTATATGATTAAGCTGATCATATAGTGCATGGTTTGATATTATTGTTTATGAAGCATGGGAGAATAAGGTCGTATACTACCCAATAATCTTGATATAGTTAAAATGGAAGTATTATAGATAATTATATAATATACTGTTACATATGGTGCGTGAAAACACTTCTTACAAGAAAATATGACGTCTGAAAGAAAGAGTTGAGTCAATCGTTTGTCTTTTTCACTGATGATTAATGAGCACTGAGTTGAGTTCGTGCAGACAAGCTTGGCTTATATATAATTAATATATAACCAGCCAAGTTAATGAAAAATAAACAAGAGTCTGTGATCAATAGAATACACATACAAAAATTTGGTAGCTTCCTTCAATGGCGCGTGAGTGCATTATTTACCTCTATGTGCTAATTGAGAGTACATAGCAATGGCATAGACAGCTGTCGCAGAAATTACCCAGAGGATGTAGCTTGAGTTGATGGAATTTATTTCAGTAAGAAAAAAAAAAATGAACAAAGGGAAAGATATAGAAGAGCCAAAATTTACATTCATTTCCATCTCACAGTTGTTGCACGTATCTACCAGAGTCCAGAAAGCATCTCAACAGAGTCAGAATGGAGACAAAGAGCCAAGAAATGCCAGACTGCCAGTTATAAACAAGAGACAACAGTCAAGAGCTCTCTCTCCAACTTCAAACAAGAAACAACACCTCTCTCTACCTGCAGCTACAATTAAAAGCATCTCTTTCTCAACTCTCCGTTACAATTAATAATTCTCCATGCTTAAACTATGAATTCTGTATCAGAATCATTCAAAAACAATCCTCTCCATTTCAAACATATCATTCCACTTGATTTCAACACTACCCTTACATTACCCGACTCCCACACATGGCCCCTATCCCTGGAGCCCATCGACTCATTAACCCATGTCCAGCATGAAGCTTTGCCGGTCATTGACTTAACCAACCCGCAGGCCATCACACTTATTCGACAAGCATGTGAGAAATGGGGTGTGTTTCAGGTCACTAACCATGACATTCCCGTCAAACTCCTTAATGAAATCGAGTTTCAAACTAAGCGATTATTTGCACTGCCGCTAAATCAAAAACTTCTGGCTGTCCGATCACCAGAGGGATGCACCGGTTATGGCTTGCCTCGCATGTCCACCTTCTTCTCTAAGTTCATTTGGTCTGAAGGCTTCACCGTTATGGGGTCTCCAGTGGATCATGCTTGCCAACTTTGGCCGCACGACAACGCCAATTTCTGGTAATATTATTAATGAATTCTTTTGATATCACCAATTCATCTTTAGTATGGTATCTAAAGATAGATAATCATATAATTATATATTTATATTGGATCATTATCTTGGCACGAAATTTATGTATGTCTTTTACCAAAAATATAAAATGCTTTGTAATTTTAACATTCTCATATCATGGCATAATGCATCTCTACTTTAATTGCTTGGAAAAATTGTAGTCAAACTGGAAGCGGTAACGCCCTCCAAAAATGCATCATTTACTTGCTATTGCTAATCAATTCTTTATAATGCCTCTTCAGACTTTTACGAATTTCACATACGTTTATCCTAAATATGCAATGCAGCAATGTGCTGGTAGAGTACCAAAAGGAACTCGACACACTAACTGAGAAGATACTCGTACTGATGTTTAAGTCATTGGGCTTAACCCAAGAGGACGTTAAATGGTTCAAGCCCAATAATGAAAGCAAACCTCCACAGGCTGTGCTCCAACTGAATTCATACCCAGTTTGTCCGGACCCCAGTAGGGCCATGGGCTTAGCTCCACATACCGATTCATCTCTACTTACTTTGATATACCAAAACAACACCAGCGGCCTCCAAGTTTACAGAGACAACCTTGGATGGGTGCCGGTGAAACCAATCACTGCTGCAGTTGTAGTCATGGTTGGCGACTTGATGCACATAGCCTGCAATGGTCTGTTCAAATGTGCATTACATCGTGCACTTGTCAACAAGACTCATACACGCATATCAATTGCTCACTTTTATGGGCCACCAAGAGACGTCAAGATTTCACCATGTTTGAAGTTGGTTGATCCTGATCACCCTATTCTCTATCGCCCCGTCACATGGAAAGAGTATCTTGATGCCAAGGCAATACATTTCAATAACGCACTTGAGTTGATTCGAGACAAAAATAATTCTGGATGTACACATCTTTAACTGGACCAATCCTGTTCAACAATAATTCTAGGATGTACACATTTCTTTAGTACATAATTGATCAGTTGAACCAGGAGTATCCAGAAAGTATAATTCAGACCCAGCTTCTTCTTTACAACAGAGTTAAGAAAAAAATCATAGCAACAAAATAGTGTAGTTTTTCTTTCTAGCAAACAAAAATTTGCACAATATACACGTTTCACATGTCTGACAACAGTCCTAGATGTTTGCATCGAGTTTAGCCTGCCAGAATACAATTGGCTTTGAAACCAAAACTTTTATCACTTTTCTGGGGGTTAAAAGGGACTATGCTAGGAAAACAACTGAAAAGGATAAAACATAAAAACCCCTTTCCCTGTAGACTCTTAAGCAATATAAACAACCACAAGCATCTGTCAGAGGCTGGAAACTTGACTTTAGATCATATGATATAGAAGACATACAAATTTATAATTATTACATTAGCTACAAAGTGAGGACATCCCAAAAACTAGTAAGTCACTTCCAAAGCTTGACACACTTGTCGTGACTCGCTGAGGCTACCAAACCAGTAACATTTGATACTGCCAATGAAGATATAAGCTTGTCATGTGCATTCAGGGTCAGTGTCTTGTTCTCGGTCATGTTCCAAAGCTCCAGAGTCTAGAAAACCCAATCCACATCAAAACAGAGGTCCAAATCAGCATCTTCAGCTAGAGACTGTTAATTCATTTCACGGTCCATGCAAGGAACTAGTTTAGCCAAATATATGAATCTATTCCTAATACGGGTGGGTCCTCATACAATATTGGGCAGAACGGATCCAGGTACTATGAATCACTGATAGATATTATCTCATCTTGACAAACCTTATAAAAGAGCTCATAAGGACTCTATATCAACAAATGGAAGTGGCATACAAATTTTAATATAATGTTTTTATTAAGTATACTTTAAGCTTTCAAGCCAACTGAGTAGTAAACTTTTTTTTTTTTTTAATTTTTTATTCTGGATAGGAAGTGGTAAATTTGCTCTTAAACTATGTATGATCATGCATGTGAAAAGACAAACTAATGTAGGTAAGTATAATATCATGTATGCGTTTATGTACAATCCTTGCTTCATGTGGAATCAAGGGGTAAAAGCTCTCTACGTTAATTAGCTGAAACAAATTGAAAGAGAAGCATAAGAGCTATGACTTACCTCATAACAGCCAATGACCAATAAAGAAGGGTGCGTGGGATGGAACACACAAGTACGAAAGTTGTTGCCAGTACAGCTCAACTCCTGAACACACTCCCCTTTGCTTCCGGAGCCAACAGTCCACACTTTGACCAATTCATCACTCACTGATGCCAGATACTCACCAGTAGGGTCCCAGCATACAGAATGAACTTGATTTTTATGACCCTAGAATGACAGTTTCACACAACACAAATGAATGAATACTGCACAGTCATCAAACAAAATCTCAGCCAACTAAAATATTTTAAGGAGTCCAGATCATGCAACATTATTCATTTCACTCATCAGAAGTCCTTCCAAGTTCAAAAATAGAATTACTACAGACATTTCATTATTACCATCTAACTAAATTGATTAGCCAACAAGACCATTCAAACGTTAGGAAATTGATACAACACGCGAAGTGCTGGTGTATAACAGGAAGCGTGGGAAGAAGCACCAGGGGATCAACCGTGATAAAGGAAGCAACTAAAGTGTGAAGAGTGTGAAGTGAAGAAAAAGGTAGAGTGGACAGGTGGCCAAAGATAAGTGGTGGAGGGTTAAATTCTGTTAAGGGAAGAAATGAATAAAAGGAGCAGCAGAGGATGAAAAAGGGAATCGAGAAGAAGTTAGTAAAAGGGGAGGTAGCTGGCCCTCGAAGTCCAGCATATCAGTTTCCATTGTTTTCCATTGTTTTGTTATTTGAATTCTTGTAGATCTGAGGTTGAGATACAGTCCATAGTTGAGTGTAATTCTGAACTTCTCAATACAATACATACTCTGTGATTCTGAATATTTACTGGGTGATTATATTGAACTGTGGAATACATCTGGTGTTAGTGTTTGTGTGTGGTGATTGAGTAAGAAATCTGGGTAGGTTCGCAACAGAAATACTCACAACAAACCTGTAATTTAAGTCTGCAAACTTGGGTCTCCACATCAAATATGGATACATAGTTCTCTGCAGAAGCTGCAAGAATCCTTCCAAAACGTGGTTGAAATCTCATCTGGGTTGCACCACCCTGGCAAAATGCAAAAGGATTCAAAAAAGTACTTATACAGAAAATAAAGACAAAAAATAGAATTCGATAATACAGTTTCCTTTGAATACATTATACCTTGAAAACACCAGCACAACTGCCATTGTTGATACTCCAGCATCGTATATCGCTATTATTATCACAAGAATAGATAAGGTCCTCTTTACTAGGGTGGAAATCCAGAGACATAACAGTTGTAGAATGCCCGGTAAAAGTACGAAGAGAATAACCAGGCTGCAAAGAAGAATAATCTATCCATCATCTAAATTATTGAAAGATGGTGGGGGTTTTCATAATAACACCTATGGGTTTAGATGTATCGATACTCAATCATGTGGCCCCTTGTTCATAAAGGGTTAAAGTAACAACTACAAGGAAACATTCTTATATCATAAATTCATATTTCAAACCGTTTCTTGTGGTTGTGAGCTTGTTTCCATTAAAACTAAAGGCAATAAAGTCTTGAACAAAGTATAGGAAACTAGTTACCCAATTCCACAAAGTGGCCAAAACTACTTTATTATTACTTTATTTGGACATTAAGATATGCGGTGGCTGAATTTTATTTTTGAAGGTACGAGAACATAGAAAATAACAATGAACCTAAAGTAAGATGTGAAGTAGGCAAGTCATGGTTTACCTTTCAAAAACAAAGAAAGAGAAAAAGGGAAAACACACATGCTCAAAACCAGTCTCATTGCACAAGAAGAATAGATCTCCCAGAAGATTCTATTTTTTAATATTGCATAACACACAAGTCATTTAAGTAATTAATCTGGATCCTTTTGTGAGGTGCAAACATTAAAAGGTAGAAACAAATATGCAAACAAAAGGGACTATGCTTACTGACATTATCAGTGTCCCAAACCCTGACAGTTCTATCAGCAGAAGATGTAGCTAGCCTTGACATGCTTGGACTGAAACGGACATCAGTAATCCATTGAGTATGTTCTTCAAGCGTAGACTTCACTGTAAAAGACTCTGTGCACCATAATACAGCCTACGCCACAAAATCGTCAAGCAAAAGAATTAACACTGTCCTTTAGAACAAACACAAGAAAGCACCAAAAGTCCCCTGCGTTGCTCCAGAATTATCATTTAAAAGTATCAAGAAACCATTCATAAAACAGTTTCACCTCCAGTCCTTACCTTTCTATCATGCCCACCAGTGGCAAGGAGTTTTCCATCTGATGAGAAGTGACAAGATTCAAGCTTACTGCTACTTGCAGGAATAAGCTGGACTTCCGAAAATGTGAAGCCTATTGTTACAACATAATTGTCAAAACCTTGGGAACAATTTACATAATACAAACAACATTATATCCAAAAGTTCTAATTCTGTAAAGTTCTCCCTTCTACCCCCCTTTTCCATGCAAACATGCCAAGTTACACAGAAATATAAGAAATCAACATTCATCATACCCTTGCTGACTTCTGCAAGCCGACCAACCCTATCTCTTGGATCTGCATCGTCAGGTGACAAGAATGACTCTACATTATCATCCAGGGATCCATCATCCACAAAACGGTCAATATCAGCCTGCAATTAATTAATTCGTTACCAACTATCAAATGAAAAGTGCTAATAACAATTCCATGCAAGCAATGAAGTAAGAAGATGTTGCTCACCAATTGATTTGGTGCTGATGTGAGAGAGCCCAAACCATCAGAGCCAAACATAAGCAAAGACTTAGAGGAGCCACCATTATGTTGCAAAGTAGGTCTTGAAATCACATCTCCTGGTGTGTGAGTAGAAGGCGATGAGGGTGAACTTGGGGATGGTCCAGTGGTGTTTGCAGTTCCAGAGCTATTGGCAGGACCAGAAGATGATACTGGCTGCTTTCTCTTTCGCCCAATTTGATTTTTTGTTGCCTTAAACAAACAAGGAACACTAATTAGAAACACAAACCAGGTTAATTTTTTGAAAGGCCAAATACACCACTGTCATATTCTGCATCCGGAAATCATGTGACAGCACAGGTATATTAAGACTAAATAAATCGATGAAAAAGTAGTAAACACAGAACTTAGAAGGGGAAAAACAATCAACAAAAAATGAGACATATAATTAATTGGAAAAACCTCATATGTTAGTGATTTGTGGTACAAATAATAAAACAGAATTCTGAAAGAATTTAAAGATTTTAAAATAATATTAGAATCAAATTCAGAAGAAATTATGTTAAATGAACCATTTTAAATGTTTTAATAAACTTGATGAGTGGAGAGTTCTGATAGAATCAGTCTAAAAACTGCATGAAATTACACATAACAAGAAAAATGTGCATCTAATATAAATTGTAATCCCAAAAGCAAGGAGATGACAAACCTGATCATTTCCTTGAAAGGTATTTGACATACTACCATCCATTGTCATGCTGCCAGCACCTATCATTTTATCATGCTGCGGGAGATGGGAGTTTGAATTCTGAGACTGCTGGCTTGAAAGGGGATGCTGTGGATATTGTTGCAGCTGTTGATTGTTCTGCATCTGTTGTTGCTGTAACTGGCAAGTATTCAAATATACATAAGCAAAGACCTCCAATAAGCCAAATGGGCTTTAAAATATGTTGGAAACATCAAACAATTACATTGTTTGTCAACTCAACTCTGAGTACAAAACAGAGATGGTACCTTCATTAGCATATCAGCATCTCCACGAGGCAGCACAGGGCAACTAACTGGCATAGTTGATCCAATATTAGACACTACATCACCAACAGAGTTCGCAGGGCTATCTTTACCGAGACCCATATTTCGATTGTTAAGAAGCATTCTCAGTTTTCTGCAATCCATATCATTGGCAGATGGAGATGTCAAACTCTGCTGTGCTTGAAGCATAAGTTGTTGATGCAACTGAAGTTGATTGAAGGGCTGCGGGGACTGCATCAAAGACTTTTGCTGCTGCAAAAACCCAGGTCGAAGCTGATCCAGTCCCTAATAAAAGTGAAGGTGATTTAAGCAAAGAAACCCAACATCCACATGTTATCTTATGACATTAAATATGAGTATATATCATATCCAGACATGACAAAGTTAATCCTAATTTGTTTGCAACTTCAATCATGCTAGTTAAATGTCAATTACAGAACTAAAAGACGCTAATAATTTTACTCAGGCCCACTTGTATAGACGATCCTGCCAAAAAAGGGAGGGCAAAATTTTTTAAAACACATTACACAAAAGTCAGTATAATCTATGCGCAAAGATCAAAACAATGAGATATATCAGGCCAAGTACTTGCATTTTAGAATGTGGTACAGCAGCCAATCCTAACAATTCCCTGCTCCAAAAATCAGCCATATCACTTTGTAATTTATATAATTTTTAAAGCTATATTAGATATTCTTTATGAGCAACATTCAGGAGCTTAACTTTAAACTCCAAAAAATTTCTCAACTAAGATAACTGGAGTTCTATTTGTCAAAACATAAAAAGAATTGAGAAAAGAAAAAGAGAACAATATATTTTTGCTTTTATAAGGTAAACTGACACCATTAACTAATGAAACATTCAACAAATAGACTTCTTCAAGAGTGAAACTTGAGCATTATTAACATAACATAGTTCTCAAATATTCAAATTAATAGTGCAGTTTATCTCCTGTTAGTCTTTACGATAGTATTTGGCAGCTAAATATTATAGAACAACATCATAAAAATGGATATTGAGGGGGTTCTTACCGTTAAAGGCCATCCTTTCAAAGTCACATTGCCGCCACCTGGATTTGATCCTAATAAACAAGAGAATAAATGTAAAAACCAAAACTTAAGATTCCAACAGCATAAACTTTGAATCGAAATCTTCAACCAATACAACCATGATTTCAAATTGCACATGCCCTGACACTGACTATCTGGTTCACTAAAAGAATTAAAAAAAGTTCCAATTTCCCAGTATTTTTATCCTCGATCAATTTTCCTTCGGTAGCAAGCATTTAAATCTAAGATTACAATTTCAAACTTGAATCCCTACTAAATAAAGGAGCTCATAAAGGGTAAAAGAATTTCAGATATGAATTCACAACTACAGTGTTTTATTAAAGTTTTATGAATAAGGCCATTGGAGCTGATCCTGCCAAAGCAGGATCCAAAGTTGGGTGATATAAAATTGACCATAATCTACTCAAAATTATCAGCCACAATATACAAGCATATAAAATAAAGGAAATGACAGTATCAATAATACCATGAACTCCAATTAATGATCCATCTGAACCAGCAGGTCTGGGACTCATCATAGGGTTCATCTCACTCTTTATATCCTGTTTCAGCATACAAAACATACTGAAATGAAATATGAAACATGGAATTAAAAGGATGAAGGCATGGTGAAAATATAAGCATTTACCTGTGAAGACACTGGAGGTTGCTGATTCCGACTTTGAACTTGTTGACTACCTCCAGGTGTACCATGCAGTGTTTGCCTGTGAAAAGGAGTTTCCCTTACATCAAATGACACATCAGTGAAAGCCAAAGCAAGAGGTAGACCATTCATAAACCAAAAATTATATCCTTAAAAATAGTGATAACATCATGTGAAGAATTACCCTGAAGACTGGCCTGCCATTGCAGTTGGTTTCAGCAAAGAAGCCTGATTTGGATCCAAAAGCTGGCCCATATTTTCACCCAGTCTTGACTGAAATAATCAGGCAATGTCATAAAACTAGTAAACTAGAAGCCAATATATTAATCCATCAGAAAGCTAGTACCTTCATAGCTGCATCATCCAAGGAATCCCTCTGAAGTGGAATCTTTAAGCGATCCTCATAAATTTTTGCTGCCAAGGTATTTGCAGTTCCAGGGCTCTGCCTCATGAGAGGGTCATTACTGGTGCCATTCAGAAACTGGGCACTATCTCTTCTCTGCAGCTGTTGCTGTTGCTGCTGTTGTTGTTGCTGCTGTTGCTGCTGCTGAGCATGCCTCTGCATTATGAGCTGCTGCATCTGCATGTGCTGATGCTGCTGAGGTTTTTGATGTTGTTGTTGCTGCAGCTCCCGAGCTTTAATCATTTGAGTCTGCCATTTTAAGATATTATAGAAATCATAATCAATCTACTAATCCCTCCAATAAACCAATTGTCAAGCAAAGAATGACTTCACTGAAAAGATTTTCAGCAAAACAGAGATGTTATAGCACATACATATTGAGTCTCCCCCAATTCCATTCATGAGCTACAATACAAATGATACAAACAATTTTTACAATGAAAATTTAAAAGAGTCTGAGCAAAGGCGACTTGAAAATATATTTATTAAGCCTCCCACCAGAAAGTCTTAAGGGTTCCTCCAATAACACCATATCCAGGTCAAAATGGACAAATTTAGCACAAAACCACAGTGAAAATAAGTACAAATAAAGCTGAGAGCACAATGAGGGGAAGTTCACATAGATAATGAAATACCATTAGTTAGAGGTAGGCACTCAATCCTGAGTTTTCTTTTACAGATATAGAATCAAATTTCACTTTCCAGATTGCAATTATTGTAATTCATTCTGATTTAGTATGGAGGGACCAACCACAACAATTAGGTCAAATCGTAAAACCAAAGACAGGCAAGATAGGGAAATTCCTGGAAGTTAGGCCCAAAGAAAGGAGAAAAACTCAACCCAAAAACTCACAAACCCACCTCAATGTAGGATGCAGCAGCGTCAGAGTGCTTCTCATTTGTTCTAGCAATAAATATATCCCAAAAGACTGACCACCATTCAAATAAAAAGCCACCGGGTGCATCAATAGCTGGAGGACATGCAAACAGAAAACCCAACATCAATTAAGTTGCAAAAAGATGAATGAGACATGAATAGATAAAAATATATCCTCCTTTGCATTTCTTTTCAGTAATCCTACCTACAGGATCTGTAGATACTTTCCCTTCAGCTTGAAATTCTTTTGCAGAAGCATGCAATTTTCTCTTCATAAGGTAATCATATATATAGACATCCAACCTATTGACCAAAAGAACAACAAATACTACCAGTCAAAAATTCAGTCTTAAAATTTTACAAAATAACTGGAAGTATAAATGCTTCAGATGGTATATAATGTATGATTTAGATCTTAAGTTGATAGAAGCCCACTGTTCAGATGAGGAAATGCAGAGTTTAAAGAGAGAGAGAGAGAGAGAGAGAGAGAGAGAGAGAGAGAGAGAGAGAGATTTTGTTATAAAAAACCTGGAGATATAAACTGCACAAAACTATAGCCAATGCAATTGCTCAATTCAGTTCAGGTAAAACTTTTCCATATTATGGAACCAAACAACACACTACACGATATTAGAGATCTTATATGCCTATATTTCAATCAATTTGCTCCACATTAAATACAAAGTGCTTTGGTTGCACAGAATTTTCCACCTTTAAACATTAAATTTTAGCATTATTGAGGAGGTAAGGTGAAGATGAGACTTAAAACTAAATTTCATTTCCTTCCATTCTGTTTTCTCGCCAACTAAAATGAAGATAAACCAAAAGACGTGGGGAACAAAATTCACACAGACATTGTCATAACAGCATCAGAGAGGGAGTAAAAGAAAATACAACTCCTAATCACCAAAAAAACAAACCAAAAAAAAAAAAGCCCTACAAGCAGTACGTGGCAATCCCATCATCATCAACAGCAACAACGAAATTAAATGTAAAATAAATAGAGAACATAAACCGCGGAGAGAAAGATACAAGCGAATACTAGAAAAAAGACATAAAAGCAATTGTACCCATCAATCAATAAGTTATGTCAAAAATCTAAACCTAGACATGAAACTGATCTTTGAAAACCAATTTTATCCTCAAACCATCGTCTAAGAAAATATTTCAAACGACAGCAGAGCCTAAGCCGACAACCATTATGTGAAAACATTAAAAAAAAAAATATATCGGCAGCTAAAACAACTAACAAAAACAAAGTAAAGTAAAATGATGAAAAATGAAGACAAAACACAAAACCCACAAAAACTGAGACACACCCTTTTCATAAAACAATAAAACATTACCACCCAACAAAAAAAAAACGGTAAAACCAAAACCCTGGAACATCAAAACCCAAACCCAAACCCAAACCCATATTATTAACAACAAAAATGAAATAGTTTAGTTGTTTAATACTTACATTTTATCGGCTTCCCACTTGTTCTGCGACATGATTATCGAAACAGTTTAGAGTAAACAAACGGCAAAAGCTGTGAGTATTAAGAATGTCAGATTAAATTCCCTTCTTGTTGGGCTAGAATCTTAGAACATGCCGTGTGATTTTGCAGAGTTTAGGTTTTGTTTTTCTTTTAACTTGCACTGGAAGACTTATGACTTGATTTTAATAATATTTTAATATAATTTCTTTCCTCCAGCTGCTTCTTCAGGTTTTTTTTTTTTTTTTTTTTTTTTTTTTCTCTAAAGTGCAAAACTCACGCAACCAGTAAAGTGCTGGAAATTTGTTTTGATTGAAAATTTTCAACTCTGTTATGTCAGCTTTTATAATAGAGCCAGCTCAGTTTTCATTTAATGAAATATCCGTTGGGATTTTTATTTCTGGAAATGGGTTATGATTTTTGTTGTGAAATGATGAAAAAACATGTTAAACATTTTAATAAACATTGTAATTCGGATTGCGTAATTTTAAAGCAATAGTATATAAAGTTTAAATTAAGGTTCCTAATTTCCTATCCATCAGTTGAGCCTGATGTGTTAGGCTAGAACCATGAGGCCAAACGGCGCATATTGCATCAGAGTAAATACATTTCTTTGCGTTTATTTATGTTTGATGAATATATTTATCCAAATATCTAATTTTTTTAATAAATTCTCTAACCTTCTGGATTTTTTTTTTTTTTTTTTAATGATAGAAGTGTCCTCGAGGCCATTGACTATCTTACAAGCTAACAATCACAAATATGGATTTTCATTGTATAGAAAAGCGTTGATGATAGTTATGGTGAATAGTGAGAGTTAGATTAAGGGGGTGTTTGTCTAAGCTTATAAGCTGGTCAAACTAGTTTATAAGCTCTAAAATTAAGCTGACATATTTGTTTATAACATTTTTGAGCTTATAAGTTGAGCTTATAAGCACAAAAAAAAAAAAAAATAATAAGTTAGGGGGTAGGTACTGTTTTTTTTCTGCTTATAACCACTTTACTTATAAGTTAGTTTGACCAAGCATATTACCGTATTATCCTTATTTAATTTTAAAATTCTATAGTATACTCTTATTTAATGTAGTATCCTTTTTAGTCATTTTATAATAAAATGTACTTATAAGTCATATTTTACCAAACACGTCAACTACTTATCAGTTATTTCACTTATAAGTACTTTAACTAAACATGTAATTGCTTAAAATTTTAAATACTTATAAGTTAAAATTAACTTATAAGTACTTGTTATTTATAAACTAATTTTCATAAGTTTAGACAAACACCCTTTAAAACATCAATTGTGATGGTGGTGATGTCGGTGAATGTTGATTAATGAGTCAATAAAAGGATGAACCTTTTATTTGTTAATCACTTTTTTGTTCTTATGGTTTTAGTCAATTCTGGTCAAGGACAATGTTTTAGGGTACTACTTTTTAGTCCCCAGGATTCAACAAACATTGACGTGGCATGCAATTCAATGAAGTATACTATCTGTTATCTTGCGCCTGTTGGAAATTACTTGCTAAACCTCTTTCTATTAAATTTAGGGAGAACAAAATTTTCCCACCCCAGGTTTGGTAAAACAACACTTTTCCACCCATTAAATTTCAAAACGACACTTTCCCACCCACCATTATGTTCTGTTAGCAAAGTCCGTTCTCAAAAAGGGCATGATGGTCAATTTACATCAAACCGCAAAAATCAAAGTTTAAAAATTGAAATGGTCGCCACTTACCCCACTAAAGTTGGCTTAGGAAAAAGAAAAGGAAAAGTGGAAAAGCCATTTGCCTTTTCTCCATGTTCTCTGTAATCGAAGCTAGGGTTGGTGATTGGCGACTGTTGAAGACAACGACTAAGCAAAGAAAAAGGGTTGAAACCGGCAATTCATCTTCGTTTCACTTCAGCCATTGCTTCTCACACCGAAACTCTCCTCGTCACAAAAAAACCCAAAAAGAACATTAAAGAAGACTTTGGAGCCTTCGTTGAGAAGCTTCAGCTTCTCCCTTTGCCTTAACCTGCTCCTCCCAAGGGTCCTCATTCTCTCACTTCTCTCACCTTCGCCGTCTCCGACGTGTACGCTCTCTTGCTCGCTGCCTGGCTTGTAAAATAATGATATATTTATTTATTTTTGTGTGTATTTATCAATTTGTGTTTGTTTAATAGGTTTGATATCGAGGTTATGTTACTAGTCTCAGCCATCCGAAGTGGGCGACTCCAAGTGGTGCAGCTTCTAGAACGGTGACAGTGGTTTCGACTCTTGTGGAAGGCGGTGACACTTGCGTTGGTAAAACGGTGGTGGATGAACTGGCTTATAGGTTTGTAATTTTTGTTCATCGCTTCAGTATTTGAGTGAGCAATTTACTATCAAGCTCATGAGAAATGGCCAAAAATAGCATTGAGGTCTCAACATTTTGCTTTTAATTTTAGATTTTGTATCATTGAAGATTGAAAAGTCCAATTTTAGGTTTAGAAGTCACTATGATTAAAAAAAAAAAAAAAAAAAAAAAAGAAACACTTAGTCAGGGTGACATATAAGCCATTAGAAGAGACAATTATAAGTCATTACTTACTGATTTATCCTACTTTTGGTGGAGTGAATGTTGGATTTTTTAATATTTTGTTCTCATTCTCTTTTCTATGTGTTAAATTTTTGTATCATTTGGTTTATTGTTGGTTATAAATTGTTTTTCGATGGTTTATTTTCAGTATCAATGGAGTAAATAAGCATTATGGGACCCCAACTAATCCGGCAACATATGCTCGAGTACCTGGTGGATCATGTACTAGGGCTGCTGTGGCAGTGGCAGTGGCAGTGGCAATGGCAGCTAATCTGGTTGACTTCTTTTTGAGTGAGTTTTTCATTTTGTATCTTATAGCTTATTTATCTCTTACTTTCCCTAGCAGGTACATGATTGATCTTAATAACATGATGGATTAAATTAATGTGGTCAAGAATGTGTTTGTTATCGTTAAAATTTCTCAGCAATAAAATGTTTCATTTCCTCACAATTTTTTGGGTATATGCAAGCATATCTGACTCTTAATGACAGTAATAATGTCAAAGATTCAATAATATATTTTCTATATCTATAATCTATGTTGATGTTAATTTGTTTTTTTTTTTTTTTTTTTTTTTTTTTTTTGTGTGTTTCTCAGAAAAGGATAAATTTTGTCCTATTTTGTCATGGGTGCAAAGAGTTTAAATTGTTATGGGGGTAGCAAAAGACTTGAATATCTACATGAAAAGGCAGAGCCTCGTACCATCCATCGTAATATCAAATCCAGCAATCTATTGCTTTTCGATGATGATGTTGCTAAGATTTCTGATTTCGATTTGTCAAATCAAGCACCTGATATGGCAGCACGTATGCATTCCACACATGTTCTTGGGAACTTTGGTTATCATGCTCCAAAGTAAGCTCTTTTTTTAACTGTTCAAAATATGTGCTTTTCTACTTTCTGCATATGTGTATGATAAAAATGACTGCAAATTTATATTATGTGTTAATGTTCTAATCGCAAATTATATACATAAAGGCAAGATGAGGTAAATGCGTGGATTGACCAAAAAACCTCTAAGATTGATGAATAAGAAATATCGTACCTACAAATCAATAGTAGAAAGAAATAATTTTAATGTGTACTATTTAACATTCACAAATAACAGGTTTTGGCTAGCACCCTAAACATGGGAAGGTGATGCAATTTATGTATGGCAATTGTTGTATATACCACTCATCAATCAACACCTTGGTTTGGAAAATTATGTCTTTTTTTTTTTTTTTTCTGGAGCACCTATAAATACTCCCGACTTTAATATCTAATTTTGGATTGCAGATACGCTATGACATGACAGATGAGTGCAAAGAGTGATGTTTATAGCTTTGGTGTTGTCTTGTTGGAACTCTCAATTAGGCGGAAGCCTGTTGATCATACTCTACTGCTGGACAGTAGAGCCTTGTGACATGGGTATGAACTTCATCATTGTTCTTTTCTACCAATAACTCGTTTTGGAACATACATATTTCTTCTATTTTGTTATTCTCTATGTTGATAGATAGCAAATTCATATATGTGTAAGTTTCATTCAAGCTGATTTGTATGCAATTATGGATTGTTTTAGGCAACTTCAAAACTCAGTGAAGATAAGGTGAAGCAATGCGTTGACGTTGAGTTATACGGAGAATTATCTCCCAAGGCAGTTGGAAGATGGTAACTTTGACTGAAAATAATACATCAAATTCGAGTTTTCTTGGTGGAAGAGCAAAAGATTGTGAAGATCCAGAAGGCAAAGTAAAAGCAAGCTTCAAGGAGCTAGAAAGTAGGAGGGTGAAAGCAAAACTTTTTTGATTTTAAGAAATGAATGAGAAACTTAAAAGCTGCTTATTTTAAGTAAATCATTAATGCTATTACTTAGTTTTATTTGGGTTTAAATCGGCAAAATATAAATATAAATGCTAGGACAAATCGGTAATTTTAAAGGTTTTAAATTTTAAAAATCTAATACTAACTTCATTTTAATAAAAAATTAGAGGGACAAATTGGTAGTTTAAATTTAAATATATAGTTGAGGCCATATCAATAATTTTATATGAAAAAAATGGATATATTGGTAATTGAATTGTTGACTTATATAAAATAATAAAAAAATTATTAAATAAAATAATAAAGGGTATTTTTATCTTTACAGTCAAATAGATTTTTCTAACGGAACATAACGTGGGACAATGTTGATTTGAAACTGTGGGTGGGACAATGGCGATTTGAAACTTAGACAGGTGGGAAAGCGTATTTTGCCAAACCTTGGGCGGGAAAAAGGCGTTCTCCCTTAAATTTACCCTAGTACTGTCTGTCAAACCGGAGGACTAAATTATATACTATTTTAAAACATTGTCTTTGACCATTGTTGCTTGAAACCACAAGGATGGAAAAGTAATTAACTCTTCTGATTCAAGAAGAGAAATTTAGACGGGAAGGAATAGGGGAAGTGGAGGCTAGCTGTAAACTTAATTTTAGTGGCGTGTGCCTGTGGCGTTGTTTCATAGAGACAAGAGGCCTAGCAAGGCTTAGGCGCTGCTAAATTGGAAGGAAATAAATGAAATATTAAGTTTCAGATGTTGCCCTTAACTTAAAATAGTATGTACACAAATCACAAATGAGGATGAAATGAGG